AATAGAAGACAGCATAACCTTCATGGACATGAAAATAAGAAGACAAAAAGACAGGACCCTGAATATAAACACATACAGGAAACCAACACACACAGACCAATATTTACTATGGACATCAGAACACCCTACTATACATGAAATGTCAGTGATCAGATCATTATACCACCGATCAAACATAATAACAGAAGAACAAGACTGTGAACATGAGGACCAACATATACCAAACACTTTAACACACTTGTGGATACCCAACATAAGCAATAAACAAAGGAAAACCACAAACAACAGAAAGAAAAGAACAAAACAAAGAACCAGAAATCCAGCAAAACAAGATAAGCCAGATAAACCAGTGATATACATTAAGGCATTACAGAAAAATAATAGCAACAATGAAAAAACACAACAAAACCACACACAACAGTTGGAAAAAGAGTAGTACATCCAAAAGACAAGATATCAGCAAGACAAAGTGTGGAGTCATATATGAAATACATGCAAACTCTGCAATAAAACATAGGTAGGAGAAACCAGACACAAACTCAACACATGAACAATAGAACAGAAAAGAGTGTGAGAAAGAAACAAACTGAAGACACACAAGAGCAGAAAGACGAGAAGCAGAAAGTACAATAAAGAAATCAGCCGTAACAGACCATTGCACAATAAAGGACTGGGACAGAACACGGTTCATAAACACAGAACAACAAAAAAGCAAAAGATGGATTAAGGAAGCGATAGCAATAAGGATACATGGACACACAAGCCCCAGACAAGCTGATTCCCAAAGTGAGAGACTCTCTTGGTCAGCTTGCTTCTCACACCAAACCCTCCATCAGGAATCTTGGCGTGACCTTTGACCCAGCTCTCACCCTGGATTCTCATGTCATTTCTCTTGTTCGCTCTTCCTTCTTCCATCTCAGGAACATGCTGAGTCCCATTCTGTCCCGCTCTGAACTTGAGACAGTTCTCCACACCTTCATCTCCTCACGCTTAGACTACTGTAACTCTTTTTTCACGTGTCTGAGCAGAACCTCCCTGAACCGTCTACAGGTGGTTCAGAACGCCTGTGCTCGGCTTCTGACCAAGTCCTCCAAACACACCCACATCACCCCGCTTCTCCTCCAGCTTCACTGGCTGCCAGTTAACTTCAGGGTTCATTTCAAGATCCTGGTTCTGGTCTATAGGGCCTTACATTGACAAGCACCATCTTACAATGGTGATCTTCTTAGTCCCTACACCCCCAGCAGGTCCCTGAGGTCCAGTGATCAAAGCCTACTGGTTGTGCAGCGCACCAGGCTAAAGACCAAAGGTGACAGATCATTTGCTGCTGTGGCCCCCAGACTCTGGAACTCTCTCCCCCTGAACCTGAGATCAGTGGACTCAGTGGTCTCCTTTAAAAAGCAGCTGAAGACTCACTTGTTCAAGCTGGCTTTTGTATGACCTTCATCACCACTCTCTCTTTATTCTTCTCTCCCCACCTATTCCACCTTCCTCAGGATCCACTGATTTCCCTCTTTCCCAGTCACTCTCTCTCTTTCTTAACATTTTTTTAAATCACTATTGTCTATTTTTTGCTCATTTTAAATATATTTTTAACCATTTTCTAAATTCTTTTTTATATTTTTCATTTTTTGTTTTTGTGAAGCACCTCATGATTTTTATCTTGAGAGGCGCTATAGAAATGATATTTTCTTCTTCTTTCTTCTTCTTCGTGAACAGAAGTGATGGGGTCCACACATTGTATCATGCATGGGACTGTGTCATCGGCAAGGGGGGCAGGGGCAGCAGAGGGCAACACTGTTCTCTGCTGCCCCTCGGATAAATAAAAATGTTTAAAGTGGCTATAACATACATGACTATAACTCTGCCAGTTTTACAGGCATGGAGCTAAAACTGAATGCAGTGGTATCTGATAGGGTGTTCATAACAGTAGTTCATGTTAGAGCTAACTCCATCATTTGCCAACTCAAAATGATCTCAGTTTCTAATTCTGGTGTGAAAAGCAAAAGGAGATATGTGTTTCCATGTTTTATTACTCAACAGTATTATTTTGTAAAGCCAGTGTCCCAGTGGCCTTTAAACTGCACCCACAGTAGAATATTTGATGAAATAATGTTGTTAAACAGCCTTTTACATACGTTTTTATAAACCAAAAGGTTACAGAAACCGTCAGAGGCGCTTCGGTTTGGTAGATGTTTCTCATTAGAGCAGTACATGGTGCTGTGCAATAATGTGCTGCAGAATATTGATTTAGAGTTTACAAAACACTCAGTGGAGCTGCTGAGAGCACTTTCTGCAGTTTGTGTTCCTCTTCATAGATTCTCTTCACTGGTAGAAACTGTTGATTTGGGCCAGGACGCCGTTCAGAACCCATGTTCTGTTGGGAAACACGTGGTTCTTCATCCAGCTCTGACTACGTTATCAGGAGCCAGGGGCGGGGGGTGCATGACAAACCTTTCACAAAGGCAGAAAACAATAACAGTTATCTGTAAAACACTCAAAACTTCTGCTGAGACCAACCTGGTCGTGATTATTATGGATCTGCCTGTAATTGCAAAGTGCCTGCTGAGATTTTCTACCAGGGAAGCCTTGAGCTCTCAGAGTGGGAGTGGGTGAGCAGGAGAGGAAACCTTTCCCCCTTTTTCTCCTGTCAGAAGGAATCACAAGGGTCAGATTTCACAGTTTGATCTGTTTTCAATTACCGGATGGGCCTTGTACAGAGGAAAGTGCTGAACAATAGAAATCTATGGAGGCAGCAGGTATGGAACATGAGAGGAAAAGGAGGGGCTGGAAGTGAATCCAAAGAGGAGAAGGAGTCTAGGGAGGTCCACTCCCAGAGAAGCAACTGGATTAAACAAGAGGGAAGGAGAGTGGTGTGAAGAGTGTTTGTTAAGTAGTGTGTCTGGGTGTGAGGATGAATTGTCTCGTGTCTTTCTGTCCCCATGTCCCTCGCTATGAGGTCAGAGGCCATCAGAACCATACATAGCCAAAGGGTGGGACATCTCACCGGGTCCTAATGGATTTCACAGCTTCATGTCCCCCAGCTCCCTCTGTCATCAAGTTTCTTCCGACATGAAAAATACACACCTACCACTTGGCTGTGCTGACACACACCCCACCTCCCAAAGGCAATCAGACTCTCGGCTATCCTGTCACCTCGGTGCTTGATGCTTTTCCCAGTATGTTCTTCGAGTTCTGCATGTGTAACAACACTCGCTGAGGCTTCCCAGGCAACCTGAGAAAGTGGATCTCAGAGGCATCATGGCTGTCAAAGCAGCAGTCGCATTGATCTCCAGCAGCAAGGAAAGCACCCGGCTTCATTTCAACAGGATCACATGTTGGGTTTTTCCTGGCACCTGTTTTAAAATACGCAGAAATCTTTAGAGTTTAGCGTCAGGCCAGCGTGTTTGTTGTCAAGAGCATTTAATGAAAACATGAGGCATGAAAACGTTTTTATTACAGTAACAAAGTTTTCCTCTTTTTGGTCATTGAATGTTTCCATGGAGTTAAAGACATAAACTTAGATGTCACTTGACTGGTGAAACAGTCTTGGGGCTTCGTACCTTCTGCTCCAGGAGGGTGGAACTGGTTCAGGTGCTCAAACTTTCCAGTAGTTATCTTTGTCGGAACATGGGCTCGATATAATTAGGAGTGGGCTAATTTGTCTCACTTTAAATAGCCAACACGTCCAGACGACTAAACCTTTTGAACGTTTTTGTCATAGACGAAATTCGCTGTATCTTCTGTCTTTACTTCTTTTGGGATGCTCACTTCTCATTACCTGTTAGAGATGTTCCGATCACGTTTTTCACTCCCGACCCGATTCCCGAGTCATTTGATTTTAAGATTCTGCTGAAACCAAAGCCTGATTCGATACTTTGAACACGCGTTAAGAAAAAAGGAGAACACACCAGAGTTGTCCTTTATTTTTATTTTTTTATGTGTTTCTTTTTGCATTCATGTCATTTCTTTTATTTGCCATAGAACATCAGTTGTTTAGGATGTATATTAATAAGAAATGTGCTAATATTAAGAATATATGTAAAAGTAGCCTTGTCACTCATTATTTACTCGGTGTACGGTTGTTTTCAGCAACATGGATGGCACTGCTCATGACGGTCATCAGCAAAGTCACGTTTTTCTACAAAACACCTGTAAAGCCAATCATACCGCGACTCAAGGAGAACCCGACGTTTGCAACCACAGATGCTCATCCAGTGTGATAAATATGCTGCCATCTTGGCATTTTTGCTCTCTGTAGACAACGTCTTGGTTTCTTAATGTATCTTTTAGTGTCGGCTGGCTTAGCCGAATTGCTGCAGCGAACTTATTATTTATTTTTTACGGGGGCACATCAGAATCATAGTGTTGTACACAACACTACCTTTTCCACCATGTTAAATACAGACATTTTCTCTCTCTTGAGGTGACTACTATGGTCTGTGTTAGCTAACAGCTACATGTTATGGTGTGTGAATTCCCAGACTATCTTATGAAACAAAGAATACTGATGTAGAGAAACTTGTTGAATTTAAAACTAAGCCATTGTTATTCTGTGTAAAAATCTTTTTGTCAGGGTGAATTTAAAAAGCAAAGTTTGTCGTTTAATATGGTTAAATCTGAATTTTTGCACCCGATTCCGATTTCCTGAAAATCACATGACTGGAGCCGGTTTACAGTCATGTGATTGGATCAAAGCATCCCTGTTTAAGATCTTAGCTGCATAAACATTGGCCGCTAGCACGTCCGGCTGCTACTGTGCTGTCTGCATGTCTCTGGTCCAGCCACGTGATTGGTCCAGAGTGGAAGTAATTACTATTACTCTGATCTGTAAATTGTAGGTCCTGTTCTCATATGTCTATCAAAGACACACACATTTCAGATGCTATCGTTTTACCCCCCATGTTTTTGCAGTTTGGTCACCAACCTTCTCCAAAGTCGTCTCTCACCCCTCCCACCTTCTAAGCTTGTGACTAACAGAACATGTCCTTCCCTCTCAGGACCACTGGTTTTGGCGGGTCAGAGATAACTCCGTGATGGCTGGGTACCCCATGCTCATCAGTATCTTCTGGAGGGGCCTTCCATCCAAGATAGATGCAGTCTACGAGAACAGCGAGGGACAGTTTGTCTTTTTCAAAGGTAAGGCCACAGGTTCTACCATCAGAGAACTTTCATCTGAAATCCCAGCAAAAATATTGTTGTCTTGTTTACATTAGCTTCATGCGTCTCTCTGGTGTTTTGTAAACCCCCTGACAGAGCTGTGTTTACAACATGGCTGACTGCGTAAGCTGTGTGATTAAATTTAGAAACAGAAAGAGGTTTTTCCTCCGCTGTGACGCCTTTATGTTCTCATCCTCAATCAAAGCGTTGCCTTAATCTGATCTGTGTACAAGTTGATTGTAAATCTGCAAGAGATTAAAGGGGTGTTTTGCTGCGTTGGAACATTAAACATAATCCAACATGTCTGGACTTTTAAAATACAAGTGTTGCTTTGATTCGGCAACAGCAGCTAAACATTTCTAGATACACCGAGTTGAAACAAAACAGCTACTTAAAACTTTTATGTGTGTGTGTGTGTGTGTGTGTGTGGGGGGGGGGGGGTACACACACACTGATTCTGAGTGGTGGATTTAGAAGCTTCATGTTAACATAATGACAATGACTTGCAGCAAATTTCCCAGAAGGTTTTATTTGGACCGTTTTTGGAAGAAAATAATCAGGAAGTCAGTCAGAAAGCATAATAAAGACCTGCAGCTGCTCCACTAACCTGTTGCTTTGAATACCCTCTTTCACTGGTGAGTTATTCCGATGGAGACCTGAGTCTAGCTTTCAGTCTTAGCGCGTTTACGTGCACGTCAGAAAACTGAACGTTGCCCTAAATAGACTGACGTTTTTTTAAAAGCACGTAAAGACGTTAGTCTTGCTGAAGGTGAACTGGTTCTAGTCCTGAAGCACCCAGATAATGCGGTAGGAACCCGACTGCATCTGCATGTAAACGGCTCAGTTGGGCTGATACTGGTAACTTCCAGGAGTGGCAAGACCATGGAAGCGGTCTTCTGATAATAGCACCACCACAAAGTAACATGGGTAACACCATCAAACAGTACAGTACGAACCAGATAAGCTGTGTTGCAGCGTTGTTGTTGTCCGTTCCTTCAGCCGTTGTGCATTTCCTATATTTACTCCATCTGCTTCATTCTCACCAGTATTTGTTTACTATCTGTGTTGCTATAAGCATACTAGGATAAAGCTCCCAGTTTATAAATTTAGATTACTTTGATGCGCATGTAAATGCACCGCCTACCGTATTTCCCGGACTATAAGCCGCTACTTTTTCCCACGCTTTGAACCATGCGGCTTATAATGAGGTGCGGCTTTACTGAAGATTTTCCTTCACCTGCCAGGTGGCGCTTTAGCAGAAAGTGAAACGTGGAAGTCAAAAGTGGAAATCGAAGAAAGTGCTCATTTTAATTTAGCACATGCAAGCAGCCGGCACAACGAAGATTTTTTTTCAAATCCATACCCCCTCATCATGGTAACTACATGTATGAGTTCATATGATGCCGCATTTAAGTTGAAGGCCATCGATCTGGCAGTAAAGGAGGGGAACAGTGTTCCGCACGTAAGCTTGGCATGAATTAATGAATCCATGGTTCGGCGCTGGAGACGGCAGCGGGAAGAAGTCATTCAAGCCAGCTTCACCCGGGGATGATGACAGCAACACGGAGAGCGACACTGACATTGCCACAGAAAAGGTATGTGACGAAGCTCTTCGGAGGCTGTTCAACTCCCGACACTGAAGAAAAGGATCCTTTTTCCCCAGCGAGAGCAGCCCTATGGCGCTCAGCCACTGTAGCCACAGGTGGGAGGGAGATCTTGGGAGGAGCGCAGAGCACATTGACACCTGCAGGTTGATGACCTCATCAGGCTGAAATCCACCAATCTGAAGGGGGGGGGGGGGGGGGGGGGAGGTCGGGTTTTCACAGCATCTGTCTACGAAAACCCGATGATGGAGGTCTGCTGGAGGTCATGGGTCATCCAACAAGATAAAGATCTAACATGCAGAAAAAACACAGAAGTGTGGACAGGAACCAACCATTGGACTGGTATGAAGCTCTTATCTGGATCCTGGTGAACATCTGTGGAAAAGCAGGAACATCTGGGGAAGGAACCCTTCAGTCCTGGCTGGAGCAGTTTAGGGCCAGAATACCTGAGGACAGGTGCAGAGGTCTCACTGAGAGTCAGACTCTTTGCTGAAATGTGTCAATATCCAAGGAGCTGTTGTTGTTTTTTTAAATCCACCACATAATAAAACATTTTTATTCTAAAACAAATCCATTACGTTCTACATCATGGAACTCAGAGAAGTTCTCATGGAAAAACAAATGTTGGAGGAGATAAAAGAGAATATCAGAGCCTTGTGTGTTTCCTAGCCGACACGTCTCACTGGCCGAGCACACCGTTAGCCATTGGGCTGCAGCTGATGGCGTCACCACCATCACATCAAAGTAGCCCTCACATCTCAGAAGATGAAACACAACTTTATTATGTAGGCTGATTCAAGTTTGCTTCCTTTTCAAAACCAGGAAAAAATAATAAAAATAGAAGTGGGATCTGAGAAAGGATGGGCTGGTTCTGGTTCTGTTTTTGTGAATCGACTCAGACGGATTGTTCTGTGAGACTTTAGGGTGTGGAGTGTTGAGCTCAGAGGAAGTGTGACCCACCACGAGGAGAGAATGTCCTTCCTCATCCACTCCCACCCTACTGCCGTTCCTCCCTACGTCGAGTTCCTTGGAAAGGTTTGATCTTTGCTCCTGATGAAGCTGCTGAAGGGAGGACTCCATTCCTGTCTTTGTGAAGGAGAAGCTGCTGATGTTTTAGGCCTCAGTTAGAAACCAGGACACCTCTTTGATATTCTCCATTAGAACATGGGATTGTGCGTTTTCCTCAGCTGGGAGACGCTTTGTTCTCTAACATGAATAACTGTAAAGAACCAGTCCAACATAAACATTTTTAAATGGCCTAAGAGGAAACAAAAGCACACGGATACAGAAAGGTTTCTCATGTTTGCTCCTATCTAGTTTCTTCAGCTCTTCCTTCTAAAGCACCCCCAACCCCGGCCCACCTCTCAGCCCCTCAACTGATGAAGAAACACATTTCCTGAGGTCACGGTCAGAAATGTGCTGCTGAACCTAATTTCTCATCAAGAAGGAGGGCAAAGACAGAGAACAGAAATCAGCAGCTTTCCTGCTGGATTCAAGTTGATTAAACATTTTACAAGGTTTTCTATTCCAGCTTTGTTATCACAGCCCACCCAGAAAAGAGCCAGTAAGCAGGTATTTGCTCTGCTCCGTGGGTTAGTAAAGTCTCAGAAAGGGTTTGCATTTGCGGCTGGGATGCCAGTTTTCCCCCAAGAGTCACCGCTGCATGTTTTTTATCTCAGCTGAGCAATAACAAGCTCAGTTTGTCAGCACAGAAACGTTCCTAGAGTGCCTCTAAGCAAAGCAGAGGGAACTCGTCCCTTTGTCTGCGTCCTGTTCTAGATTAAAAACATCAAATACAGTCACACACAGCAACAGGTTGTTGCCTATCGTTTGTTGAAAGGCTTGTAAATCTCCGGGTGTGTGCTCGACTCCTGCAGGAACATCGCTCCTGTTACTTGCTGTACTTCATTTTTCCTCTCTGGTCTTGCCTGGTTTACAGGGAAGCAGTTTTGGGTGTTTAAAGACACGGAGCTGCAGCCAGGATACCCAAAAGACATCACGCACTTCGGTCACGGCATGCCAGCGCAGAGCATCGATGCGGCTGTGTGGTGGAAGGACGTGGCCAAGACCTACCTCTTTAAAGAAGACAGGTGGGGACGTCATGGGGTCTTTCATACAGCGGATTAGATCAGATCCACTTGGCAGGATAATATCAGAGCTTAATGACACGACTCTCTTCCAAGATGGCACTAAAGGCACAAATATGTGTACAAAGACTTCTACTTCTGTCACATTTTGGTTCATACCCTTTATTTTGCGTCGTGGAGTTTGTTAATCTGCTGGTTATTTCAGACACGCTGCTAACTCTGGTAGCATCTTTTTGAGTTTACAGGGCTGATAGATGGAGCTTCCTTAGGTGTAAAACCTAAAGTTAGAGACACAACGCTATGAAGAAATGTTCAGTTTAAATCAGCTTGTTGGATGTGAGAAAACTGGAAGCAAGATGTTAGTTTATTTCGTCACAGTTTAACCTAATTGTGTCTCATTTGATTTGTAATTCGGTCTCACACTTTCTGACTCACTAACACTGAATCCAGATGAGTTCCAGATGCTCGTGACTGCTCTATGAACGAGTGAGAAAAAATGAACTTTGACCCTTTACTTGTCATTCACACTTTATTTGTTACTATAATTTTAATTGTTGACATGAAAGATTTAACAAATGATGGTGGGCATCTCAAGTCAGAAAATCTCCAGATTAATGCAGAAAGCCATAACTTTAGTTTATCAGCATTCATCCCTCTGAATAAACAGCTTCTGCATTGTCCTCCTGGAGTCATCATGTGTTTCTGTTTAGGTACTGGCGCTACAACGAGGAAATGAGAACCATGGACCCTGGCTACCCAAAGCCACTCACCGTGTGGAAGGGGGTGCCTGATTCGCCACAGGGGGCCTTCGTTGACAAAGACAATGGTATGAATTGTCCTGCTCAATACTCCGGTTTGGCAGGAACAGAACAGTTCATGTGCCAGGCCGTATTGATTTCAGCTGGTCACTGGCACATGCTGCGTGGGAGGTAATCCCGGGTGGCATTGATTACAATTTGTCCCAGATACTCACCGATTCTTAGTGGTGGCACACTTCCATATGTGCAGCCTCGAGGGAACTAGGCAGTGTTGCTGGCAGAAGATAGGTTTATCCATAAAATGCCTTTTGTGTTTGTGAATTGTGTCTGTCATAATCCGTCCATCCTGACCAGGCTGCCTTACAACCAATTGTTATCAGGAGTGGAAAGTAGAAAGGACAAGACCACTGCTGGGTTCTGGTTTGGGCCAACTGGCCCTCCTCAGGCTGGATTTGTGACGCTCACAGAGCTCCCCTATAAGCCGGTGGGTTGATGTGAGGTGGGAAGAAGCTTTTGCCATTGGTTGTAACACCAGGTGGGTCTGAGTACGCTCCTGGCAGCGGCGCGGTTGGAAAAAGCAGAGCAGGTGGTGTTGAATGCTCGGTCCATCTGTGCAGATGATCTGCTGCCAGATCCGCGGCCGGGCGTGTCTCAGTGAGGTCAGATGGAGCAGGCGTCAATTGGAGCATGAAGGATGGATTCCTACCCAGAAGCCTTTTCTGCTCACAAATGTGTCGGCATGCATTTATTTGCCAGCCAGGCTGATTGCAGAAACAGTGTGTTGCATACATAGAATTGACCCAGATTGGCATAATTGTGTGCTGAAGCTAATGCTAATGTGAGTGAGCAGCATGAATCCAGAGCCTGAAGGCGCCATTGACCTGGCTTCAGTTCTTCACATCTTCCTTCCTGTTCTAAACGGCTATTATTAATATACTATACATTTATTTTCAGTCGGCTGCCAACCCTAGAAACCATTTTCTCGCAGAATTTAAAATGAGATCAAACACACTGACAGGTTGGACAGAATAAAACCTTACATGCTCACATTTCTCCAGCTAATCAACATTCAGCTAAACTTCGTGACAAACTCACAGATGTGATTGGGTCGTTGGTTGAACCTGGTTAAAGTTCGGTAAAAAACATCTATTAACATTTTTGGGTTGGGAAATGATGACATTAGCCAGGCTAGTATTTCCTGTCTTTATGCTAGCTAGGTTAATTACTGGGCTGTGCTAACTGCTGCTTCCTGTTATAAATCATTCAGTACGTGATGTTTGGCTTGTTTTGGTTCTGTTTGCCGTTCGTGCCAAATAATTACGGTCAAAGTTTGATTTATGTCTACTTTTTAAATTTCTTTATGGAACTCACATTCCACCTAGCATGTTCTGGCAACACAGGCTAGCAGCTGTCAGCCAGCTAGCATGGTTAGCCTTGACTTAGACAGTCACTCTGCCTGTTCAATTAAAGATGCATGATGCCTTAGTTCGGTTTCTTCTCTCCCTTCATGCCGTTTGATCATTTTGTTTCATTCAGACATGAATCTTTAAAACGTTCTTCACTTCCTCACCACCTAACGAGTGATTAAAAAGGCTCTGACTCCCTCTGCTAGAAATTTAAAACATTACTTTCCCTGTCCTCCCAGAGAAAAGTGAGCATGAATTATAAATCGTAAAACACAAGAAGATGTAGAGGAAGCCTGAGAGGGAAGCGTTCTTTTGGACTTAGCTCTTCTCACATTAGCATTACAAGATGTTAGCGTCATCCAAAAGGCACGCAACCATTTAACAATTAGCTTAAATCAGTAAACAAAAACTAAAGTATGTTTATTCATTTACAACAACAGGAGTCGTTACTGTATGTCAACTGAAGTAAATCAAGAATTGTTAAAAGGAAGGTTCACTCCTGCGATTTGAGCAGCAGCTTGTTTCTGTTTGTGTTTTTGTTCTAGCAGTGGGGTCTGCATCGTTCCAGAGCATGTTTTCACTTCTTTGACCAATGTAATCAATCCTGGGGGACGGTCCAGACACGCTAGCAGAGCAGTGGAGCTGAAACGGAGACAATGCAGCAGCAGCACTGTGTTTGTGAACTTGTTTTAGGTGGATTTGTTTGCCCAACCCCCTGCTTACATTAGGTTTAACTTGAGCTGAATCAGGTGTTTTCTTTTCCTTGCTAGAGCTTTGTGTTTATCAAAGACTTACAGACTCACTCAATGTCTGATGAAGTTAATAAGGTTGATACTGAGTAACTCATTCATTCATTTCTTCACATATTTAATCCCTTAATCTGTTAGACAGTTGAGAACCTGCGGTGTAATGAAGGACTTATTATGGTCTGCAGGATGAAACATGATGCACCAGGATTTACACTGTTTTATGAGCAGAGAGAAAATGGCAGGCTATTTCTATATGTATATATAATAATAATAATAATAATAATTATTATTATTATTATTATTATTATTATTATTGTTATTATTATTAGTATTTATTTTTTATATTTTTTAATACATGGGGCATGTGTTCAGGGCTCTTACTGTGGAAAGATTTTAGAGGAAGTGATGTGTCAGGTTGGTGAAATCAACACTGATGTTAACAAAGATGGCCGGTGGTATTTTAGTAGTTCCATTCAGTAAATATGATGGATGAGTCACAATGGGCCAAACTAGTGAAAACAGGCTAACAGGCTAAAAAGTTAATGTATCATAGCTAACGAGTTGATACGGCTAATTCTGTTTGACCACAGTAACCATGACAACAACCTTTCATCCTTCATTTATACATACCTGCAAACTTCTAGCTTTTCAATGAAGCTTTCCGTTTTTAAAGCCAAATATCAGGTTCACGCGAATCTTGTAGGTCCGAAGAAATTTTGTTTTGAGGGGGGGCGTTTGTTGGGTTTCAGTCACTCTTTATGATAATCAGTCAGAGAGAGGTGGGGTAATTACTCTTGTTCACAAACAATCTTTGTTCTAGCGTGTCAGTCACGTGTCATCATTTGACCGATAATAAAACTGATAACAAATAACAGTTTTCTGTCAAAGACTTCAGCAGATTTTCTCGTCGTGTTTTATTTTTTACAGTGTTTAACTTTAAACACAGCAGTATCTAACCCAGCTGAAACCTTATTAGTAACATAAATACTTATGAAGAAATGGCCAGCGTGCAGGGGCCTTGGTCTGGGGGTGATTTTAGTTGTCACCTTTTTCACACCTTTAGTTTGCAGGTATGTTTATAGCTAAAGATGTTACGTCAATAAAATAAAAGATTAGGTTGGTCTAATCTGAGTGACTTCTTCACATTTAGACTCCTTCTGTGTTGTTTTCCTACTTCAGGTTTTACCTACTTCTACAAAGGAAAGGAGTACTGGAAGTTCAACAACCACTTCCTCCGAGTGGAGCCGGGCTACCCACGCTCTATCCTCAAAGACTTCATGGGCTGTGAACTAATACCCATGGGCCCTGGCCGTCCGCCGGCCGACGGCAGCGACTCAGACGGCGTGATCGAGCTGGACAACGAGGCCAGCACGGTGAAGGCCATAGCCATCGTCATCCCCTGCGTGCTCGCGTTGTGCCTCCTGGTGCTGGTCTACACGGTGGTGCAGTTCAAAAGGAAGGGCACGCCACGCCACATACTGTATTGCAAACGCTCCATGCAGGAATGGGTGTGAGAGCAGACCGGAGGGCGGGGCGGATAAACGGGACAACAGCCCTCACTTTTACAAAAAGGAGGACGGCTGACCTTGAACAGCTTTATTACAAACCACCACCATGCCTCCTCCTCCTCCTGGATGGTCTGGTACCGGCATTCGGACCTGCAGAAAGGGTCTGACTGTGATTTGTTACTCCTACAGCTGATCCCAGAGCTGACGCTGACTCTGCTAACCCCCGCCTTTTAAACAACATGGGAGCAGAAGGGATCTGAGCTGGGAGGGACCTTTGGTCCAAAAGAAGAAGGTTGGCATCTCTTTATTACTCAGAAACTTGACTTCCTGTCCCCTTTGTGTCCAGAGGGAGGACTTTATGGGTTGGGGGTGTAAGCCCGTCCCACAGGGCACCATGTTGATCTCATATCAGGTTGTTGTCTGAACAACTCTTTTCTATTGTCCCGTCTGGGTGCCCCCATCCACCTCCACTCATTATTACATTTCTGCTTTTAAACAGTTGATTTGACAAAGGAAGTCCTCTCCAGTCCCTTTAAGACACTCCTGAGACCAAACGAAACCAAAAGAAGTCCATTTCTCTCCAAAGAGGATCACCTTTTCTTTATTGTTGTTTTCCTTGTTGTTCTCATCCGTTCCCTTCTCTGGATCTTTGCAGAGATTAAGAGTCAGGGAGCTCTGACTGTTGTGGCGGTCTGTTTAAGACACAGGGGCCAAATTTTACTGCAATATTTTAACTCGCCTTAATTATAGATCATACTTTAGCCGTTTTTACTCATTTTTTTCTGTTTGTTATTTGTATACTGCTTTTGTTTTGTTTATAAAAGGAGCTGAGTAATTGCTTCTTGTGATTTGGTATTTTACATGTTTTATTACATTACCCAGAATCCTCAGCACTGGCTTGCTGAGTCCAACTGGACGGACCACAGCCTGTATTAGGAGCGGTGTATGATTGGACGGTTCTGGAGTGAAGCCACTATTTTTGTGTGTTAAGATATTTGTTGTTTTTTATTTTATCCATCCAGCACAGATCAGGGCAGCGGGAGCCTGGGAGTCTCCGTCCCACCAGTTAAGGTGTTCATCCCAATCGGTTGTTCTATGAGGTTATTTGTAAATGAAAAAAAAAAACACTAAACTGTTGACTGCCTTGTTCGAGAGAGTTCCCAGAATGCACTTGTCTCATCACTTAGGACCCACAAAGCAAGACAAGTCAAGATCAGTGCCTGTGTCAACGTGCATGCAAGCATTTACTGTACAAACAACCAGTTCTGCCCAGCTGAAACCTTCCAGAACCCACAAGCAAGGCTCGTCTTCGAGATTGTGTTATTCTTCTAGCTTTTCAGGGGACCCACTGTCCCTCCCCTCTTAGGTACGGTTATTTTACACAAGAATTGAAGAAAAATCATCAAATTTGGGAATTTATTTAGGTTCTCTCTCTCTCTCTCTCTCTCTCTCTCTCTCTCTCTCTCTCTCTCTCTCTCTCTCTCTCTCTCTCTCTCTCTCTCTCTCTGTCTCATTTTCTCACTCCTTCAGCAGTCGTTGAATGTGTGTTTGTTGTCATGATCACTTTCTGGGGTTTTATTTCTTTCTTTTCTGCTCAGAACCAATCGGATGTCTCTCAATGAATTTTTTGTGTACGAATCTGGGACATCCAAGAAAAAAAAAGAAAGAAAAAAAACACATGTCCTGACCGAATTAATAAACTGATAAATATCTGGTGAAGACCTGCCTCCAAACTGCTCATCTTTCTGACTTGTGTGTAGAACTCACTCTGGCTGATCGTTCAGCATCTTGTGGTTTTCTGTTGCTTCTGTCTGGTTAAACAATTTTCTTTCCAGATTTACATTTTCTCTCAAAATGTTGAAATCTGAAAATTAAACCTACCACATGGATAAAATAAAATCTGTTTTTTTTAGGTACAGAGCCCACCTGATCACACTGATTGGCAGGCCAATTCATTGACGCTTCTCTAATAATAAATATTATCACTTTTATAGTAATGTGTAATATTATTTAAACAACCTTTTTTAAATGGAATTATCTGTTGTATTTAATTATCACGTTTTTGTTATACTGTGAAATCAGAATCTCAAACCAGCTCATTGAAGTGTTAAGATGTTTTTTTAAGCAGCTGTTGAGACGAGAGTGATCTAAAGGTAACAGAAGATGTCTCCTGTTCTTTTGCATTCACTGACTAAACTTCCAGTTATGAACTCAAATATCACATCTGTCTAGGACAAGCAACCTGAAACAAAAAAATCTGTTACAAACTTTACTGTCCAGTCCTACAATTAACAACCGTACTGTCTCTAACCAGGATGACCTGGCTCTTTGGGTTTACGGCCAAGGTCTTTGGGCATAGCATCATCTCTTTGGGTGTAAGACCATGCTCTTTGGGTTTACGGCCAAGGTCTTTGGGTGTAGGTCCATGCTTGTTTGATATTTCTCATCACAGGATTGTTAAATGATAAAACTACATGTCTACTTTCTAAGGCACTGCATGCTCATCCATGTATAGATCTGTTGTTTTCCCTCATCGTCTCCTCTCCCTACAGTAAACAGACTGGAAGTGGGTGCCCATGTGCCTGTTAGTGTTCTCCCTCACATATTTGTCTCTGAGTTGTCTTTTCGGCTCTTTGTGTGATGTATGAGCAGCAACGCCAGCCGATGAATGACTTGCAAAGTCTCAGCCCTCTGTGCTTTTGTTATATTCATGCTAACTGTTAAAGGAATGAGAAGTTTGAGTTTTTACAGCTGTTTATTGTCTTTCACACACACCAGCCTGACAGCTGGACCTTGGTCAAACTGCAGCCTTTTCCTTGTCTGTCAGGCTGAAACTTTGGTGCTAAACTGACCAACTCTGGCCAGGCCTCTTTTTCACAGTGCTGCTATTTCAGTCAGCGTCCCTCCTGCTCCTCCTGCTGTCACTGGCTCAGGACAAGAATGAATAAAACAGGAGCAGAAGTCATGCTTTCTCATTGAATCAAAGTCTTTATGGTGCTCTGCCTAATGGCCCTTCATTAGTTAAGGACCATTTATTGTAGTCATGGTTATTCGTGCAGCACTTTGAAGCACCTGAGTGGAGGTCAACCAGTTTGCCTTTGCAGGTTAATAAAGGTCGAAAGTTATTCTGAAGATGTTAAGAGGTCAAAGGTCATTGACTTGGCCTGTACTGCTGCAGGGTGACCAGAAATAACATCATGTCATTAACCCCAAGTGCGTTTTTCTTGTCACTTTTGGTTTTATGCTTCTCAGATTGCATGGCAATGTTGGTAACACGTCACTTCATGTCCCTCATCATCAAACCTGAGCATCACCAAACTTAAACGTCAGAATAACAAACCATATTGTCTGATTAGCTGCTGTGTTGCTCCAACTCAACAATGTATTTTGTAACAAAAATATTGCTATCAGTGTTTCACCATTAGGTTAAGATCTGTTATAACAAAAACTTTATAAAGTCTATTATTTTTTTATTCTGTTATTTAAGTTATTAGTAGACTAGTAACACTAACAGACTTGGTTCATCTCAAGCGTCATCAACGTTTGATAAACCTAGCTCTAAAGATAGATAGTTTTATTTGATGGTAGATGTAGGTATAAATTGTCTCAAAGACCCAAAAAGAAGTACCATACTGATATGATGTAGCAGTATTGTATAAAGTTCTTGTATCCAGTTTAGAGATGCTAGCATTCTTTACTAATCCTGACCAGCTCTCATGTAAACCTGACAGTGACATTAACAGAAGTTAAACCATACATCTTCCAGGATAGATCAGATTTAAACCTCGATGAGATTCAATAAATTTTGGTTTCACAAACTAAAACCTTCCCTCCCACTTCTCCAGCCTCCACATGCTCCTCTGGGATCTGTTACCAAACAAGTGTTTTAGGAGGCAAGACAGAAGGTTTAAAGTAATACTACTACTTCTGTTTCCATCTGAAAAATAGTTTTATATTCAGTTAAAAACTTTGTTTTCTTTAGATCCTGTTTTTGGTGCCTCATGTTTGGTTAGGTGTAGGCTTTTGGCTGCGGTTAAGAAAAACCTGTTTGCCTTGAAGCGAAATTTACACAATGCAACAGTTTATGTCCCAGTTTGTGTAAGACTTCATTTGGAGAACAGCTAAAATGTTTCAAGACAGAGAAGTGACGCGCTTACCCAAATGCTAAACGCTAGCTAGCTTTAGCTAACTAGCTTTAGATGGACACAAATTAGACTTTTATCTGTTTTGAAGCCATAAAACTGATTTTTAGGTTTGATTGTGGACTTTAGATATTGTAGCCACAGCCGCCACTGTAAACGGCTTGTCCCCTTCAATAACAGGAAGCCTGACACATGCAGACAGCATGGGCTTACTCGACTTTAGCTGTCTGATCATGTTACGTTTGAGGAAGCACTCTGATCGTGCCCGTTTTTAAAGATGTCAGTTCTTTTTATACCACGTTTTCCATCAAATGTCTGCATTCTTCTTTTGTTGCTGTCTGTCTTTGGAAGTATTGCTCTGTCGATCAATAAATACATCTAAAAACATGTTCCCATCCATCCTTGTCTTCTTCATCTCAGTAACTCATGCGTTCATGAGTGTGGCCTGCAGGTACATAGTTGAATCCTCTTTTATTGGTTATTAAGGAACTTTTCCCAAACTTTCATCTACGTGAAATAAGATGAGTCAGTGGAGTTTAAAATGTTTATTTTTTATTCAGTGGTCTATAGTCATGCTCACATCAGCCTCTCATGTCAGCTTCTCCATCCAGTTTCACTATCGCTCCTTCAAATAGCTCAGGAACCATGCTGTGATTTATCTTCTTAACTTTCTGCAGAACAAACAGTCGATGCTGTCAGCATATGAAGAGTGACTGATAAAAGTCATCTTCCAATCCTGCCGGTCCATCCAGTGAACAGAACAGAGAAGACCATCTCCATCTCTGCAGCTTTTGAACACCTGAAAGACAGGAAGAATCATCCATCACTTGGAATAATACTGAATAAAAGAACCAATCCTCCAAGTAAAATCCTTAAAGAATGAACCGTTTCGGAGTCCGCTCCAGGTTTTCTTTTGTTCCTTACCCAGCTGCTCAGACCAGACGAGCTAATATCGGTTTGCAATCTGAATCATTTTTAGTGTTGGTTCTGAAGTTGTTTTAGTCTCTGGAGTTTCCTCTGCTTAGAATAACACCTACATGCATATGAAAACACACTCAGGACATGTTGGACATTCCACAGACACATGAGGACAGATTATACATTTGTTGAAAGTATTTCCTCTGTTGTTACAGATTTGGTTTTGTTTTTCTAATTGGTGACCTTAAGTATTCCCAGCATGTTTCCACTAAAGCTTCTCATTTTAGACTGTCCAGCTGACTTTAGCATCGGCTTTGCCATGTTCACTAGTTGCTATTAGTAAAAATCTCATTAAAGTTGGAATCCTTCACATTTGCAGAAGAATAAGATCATTAATAATTGTACTAATTATTATCATTTATGTGTAGATTGTGTCTAAATTCACAGCCGTTGAGTTTGGTCTTAAGCCTGCCGCACACTGGAAGCAAAAGCAGCCCGGACCAGTTTACCAGCAACAACCACCGCTCTCGGGTGCACACCGGGAGAGTCTCAGCAGCAAAGCGGCTTCTCTGCCACACTCCTTGCTTGACTCGAGAGATCACACGATCCCGCAAGACTTCAAAGATTACGGTTTGTTAATGCAATCTGCCATTAAGACAAAAAGAAGGAAATAAGTTTGATGTTGCAGTTTTTAGTCACATATGATGTTGTTCTTCTCCACTGCCATGAATAAAGCCTTGAAAAACACACCTCTGCACTTCTGAAATGATGCTGTGAGTAAATAAGCCGCTGGGTCACATGTAAGCTTCATAAATATGAAATAGCATTGCTGCAGTACTTTTATTTAGAAATTTACAGGGAATTTTACGCTGAAACAGTGTGATTTCCTGTCTAGCCCTATGTTAACTGTGGATATTGACGCATCCCAGATGCGGCTCAAGGCAAAAATAGAACCCAATCCTATATTTAGCAGCACGACGTGTCCTGCTTCTGGAAATTTCTGCGTTGCGGCTGGTTTGTTACACTCCATGGACTATAATGGATTCTATTTGAAGTGGTGGCATTTCGCTGCCGTTCCGCGCCGCTTTTGCTTCCAGTGAGCGGTAGGGGTTAGCTGCAGACGACGGACCCAATCTAAACGTCAACAGGCTGGATGAATCCGTATAAGAAGATTTATTTGTACGTTCCAACTAATCTTTAATACTTGTTTTCTGGTAAACTATAAGCCGCAGTACCGCTAGAGTTGCTCCTGTCACGAGTACGACTAACCACTTCCTGTACTTTCTTAATCCTGTCTAGGGTCACAGAGACCTATTGCCCATCACAAGAACGTCGCTAGCGACAGGGTTCACCTGGACAGGTTGTCCATCCTTCGCATACGAAAGTAGCATTGTAGCCTTGAAAGGATAGATTGGACACAATGTCTCCTGCCTCTCACCTGGTGACGTCTGGAGTTGGACCCCAGATCCCCACGACCCTACTGAGGATAAGACAGGTTTGTATGATGCATTGAAATTTTATAGGAAATAGTGGAACAAGTGGAGAATAAAAAGGTGTGTTACTGACAAGAGGACACCTCTACCAGGGTCATCCACACGTTGGAACTTAAAGATCTAATGCTAAAAAAGATTTCGAGAGTATTGACGTCTTCAGATTTGATCGACCCCACCCTCCTCTCTCTCTCTGTCTTCATGCAGCTTGGAGGTAGGTGAAGTTGTGGCAGAAACTTTTAAGCAGCAAATCAATAAAACATTTTCAAAAACACAACCTGGAGTCAGAAGAAGTGCAGGCTTCTCCTGGATCATTAGAGAACAACCTCCGCATCAAATCTTTCTTAAAATTCATGTCAGCTTTTCCAGTAATTATCAGTTTTAATTTAGGGAGAGCTGTGAGTCATAAGGATTGTGGGACTGAAATAGCTTTGAAAGCATCGTTTTTCTTACAGGAGCTACTGTTTTTGACACAAAAAACCTCAGAGTATCTGATTATGGCACAATGGAGATGATGTGTTGTGCCTCAATCAAAGATCTCCAAGAGTTCTTTATCAAAGAAGATGGGTTTAGGACATTGGAGTTTGTTTCTTGCATTGCATCACAGGATTGTGGCAAGAAAAAGCTTATTTTGCCAACAATTTGATTGTTTAGCACATTTTGAGGAGGATTTATGAAGATGTTGGTTCGTTCTTGCTGTGTGGTCGTTTTTACGGCCCGTCTCTAAAGGACCGAGAAAAATGAAAGCGATGGGTTTGTGCGACTCGGATGCTCCAAAGAAAGCCCGGTGTCCTGCAGCAACATTGTGAGGCTCTTTTTGTTCATGGAGGGTTCTTGTGACGGAGTATTTGGTATTTAGAGAAGATATTTAACAAAATAAAATAACAAAGTTGGCATATTTTAACATCCACGGAGTCATATTGTTTTTGCATTTTGATTCAGGTGTCCCAAACCAAAACTTTCCACCAATAAATAAATAAGGACTTTGATCAATGAAGACTTAATCGGCTTTGCAGTCGCAGTGAGGATTTCACCGTTCTCTTTGGCAATCACCATGGGTGATGCGGATCACGCTGACATTGCTTTTAGCACGAGTGCGGCTCTGTTTCGTAGAAGAAACCAGCCCCACTTTTCTTGAAATAAAATAATAAGCCTGCAGAATTTTTTTGAAAGCCTTTAATTTTTCCGGAGTGAATGGCCGAGAGCCTTTTGTTAAATAGGAATAAATGTCTCCCCAGCAGACTTGTGACCAAGACACCGGACAATGTTTGTCATCATCCCAGGTCTCATACAAGCTTTTAATAACTTCAGTTTTTGCCTCAGTACAGATTTTAAACTTCTCTCTTAACGTCCTCCTGTTTTCAGACATTAAAGTGATCATGTATGGAGGATGTCGCCCTCAAACTCTCTTGAAAGTGTTTATCATGTCTTGACAGTGGGCCACCCAACCACTTGTGCATTCGCATAAAGATGTCAACAAAGGTTCTCCTACAGCAGCACAGAGCCCATGATGGTTGTCCTGAGGAAACCTCGTGTCTCAGGTTGAAGTCTCAGACGACTCGCTACTCATAACTCCCGTGATATCATCACAAAAACGACCGGAAACCAAGCTCAAGGCAAAGGTCAACTCAAAGTGCTTTTCTAGCTGCTGCTGTCAGATAGAATTTTCCAAAATGTCAACCTTGTGAGGGTTCAAGGAAACCATTTCTGACCTTGGGTTGACCTTCTTAACCACATAGCTTTTATACTAGGGCTTCACGTCAGAGACTTTAAATGTGTAATAATAAAGAGAATATTCTAGAGGATGTGCTTAGTCTAATATCTAACATAACCCACGCTAACTCGTAGCTAACATGGTTTGACTATGTTATTTTGCAGATGCTTTTATCCAAAGTGACTCACAAATTACCCCAAACATGCATGTGTGAGATGAAACCAGGGTACCTGGAGAAAATCTGAAGAAAACATGCTAATTCCACAAAGATAAGCTGCTGGGATTTAAACCGCAAATATGTTTGCTACAAGGCATCAGTGCTATCAATCGCTCCAACATGCAGCCCCAACTAACTAGCATAGCTTACTTATATATGTATACACACACACACACACACACACACACACACACACACACACACACACACACACACACACACACACACACATACACATACACACACACACACACACATATATATATATATATACATACATACATACATACATACATATATGTAGAAATTGGTAAACTGAGTGCTTTAAGAGTTTAACATATTACCTTTACTTATGACCAATTGCTCAAGGTTTAAAAGGCTTCGCTCCAGATGGCCGTTCCAGGGCTCTTTCTCTAGAACTGAATGCTGAGTGATGGAAAGCCGGAATGCAACTCTGACTGCTGAATCACCTGAGTGATTCCCTTTTAATACTCTCATGTTATGATTTACTAACAAATGAGAGTTGGCCATGTAAGAAGAGTTTTACCAAGAACCTCAGAAAACATGCCTTCTTGAGATACCGGATGCTCTGATCTGGGAAATATCTATGTGTCACGAGTTTAACATAACTTTAATTTGTCCTTGTGTCTGGTGCAGGTGACGATTGCCTTGTCATATCAAACATTACTGATTACCATATATATAAATCAGTGTAAAACTTCATTTCATTTCAATAATTCAAGCACAAATTAATGAAACATTATTATTATCCATTTAACATTTGTTAATTACATTTAATAAAAACGTTCACTTTACTGAGATAGTGGGCACTCCTGCGGTGTTATCAGAGAAGGCTTTGTTTGGGAACAGAAGCTGATAACATTTTCTCCTGAAATGTCAACAAGGTTGCAGTATCCTTCTGGCTTCAGGAAGATAGAGTGTAAAATCCACTTTAGGGGATAGAATTAAGTCTGCAGATGACCAGTGGCATCTAGGTCAACATGTAGGTGGAAATTGACCATTTCTGGACATTACATATATATATATA